CAGCTCAACCTCTGGCCCCGTGTCTCCTTGCCGGAGACTTCCCCGACACTGCGTTGGACGGGAGAGGTTGGCAATGCGTCGCGTTTCCGGGTCTGGGGATCCCGAGCTTTTGTTCGCGACACGTCCGCGGACAAGCTCTCCCGTCGCGCTGTTCCTTGTGTCTTCCTTGGCTTTGTCCCGGACGCCCCTGGTTGGCAGTTTTACCACCCCACCTCGCGGCGTGTCCTGGCCTCTCAGGACGTCACTTTTTACGAGTCCGTCGTGCTGCCAGTCCCACTGTCACGCGTCTCCTCGCCACTGTTGTCACTGACCCTACCTTTGAGTCCTCTGCTGCGTCTGCTCTGGTCGCTGAGTTGGTTGACTTTGCTGCCCGGTGTCGTCTAGACTACGCCGCTAGCCTTGTTGCTGAGTCTGAGTCTGTCTGTCCTCCGTCCGTCAGGGGTGAGTGTGCTCTTAGCACGGACGTCCTTGAGGACAGACAGGAGGAGTTCCAGTGCTTTGTTGCTGCTTTGCCCCATCTCGTGTCCATGCTAGTTGCCCCTGAGGGAGACCCGGATGCACCAGACATCCCGACCCCGCGCTCTTACGCAGAGGCGATAGAGGGTCCCTACTCCTCTTAGTGGCAGACAGCTATGGACGCAGAGATGGCTTCCTGGAAGTCCACAGACACCTACGTCGACGAGGTTCCCCCACCTGGGGCGAACATCGTCAGTGGCATGTGGATTTTCAGGGTGAAGCGGCCGCCGGGTTCTCCTCCTGTCTTCAAGGCGCGCTACGTTGCTCGAGGCTTCAGTCAGCGAGAGGGAGTTGACTTCTTCCATACCTTCTCCCCCACCCCGAAGATGACCACTCTTCGGGTGCTGCTGCACATAGCCGCTCACCGCGACTACGAGCTTCACTCACTTGACTTCAGCACTGCTTTCTTGCAGGGCAGCCTGCACGAGGAGATCTGGCTGCGCCGCCCTCCTGGCTTCACTGGGTCGGTTCCTCCTGGTACCTAGTGGAGGCTCCAGCGGCCGGTCTACGGTCTCCGCCAGGCGCCGCGTGAGTGGCACGACACACTGAGGACTACACTTGCGGCTCTTGGGTTCGCTCCTTCTACTGCTGACCCGTCGCTGTTTCTACGCACCGACACCTCGCTGCCGCCGTTCTACATCCTCGTGTACGTCGACGACTTGGTCTTTGCCACTGCTGACACTGCGGCACTCGCCCACGTGAAGTCAGAGCTGCAGAAGAGACACACGTGCACAGACCTGGGTGAACTGACAAGCTATCTTGGCTTGCGGATCACCCGGGACAGAGCACGGCGCACCATTACCTTGACTCAGTCACACATGGTGCAGCAGATCCTTCAGCGCTTCCGCTTCACGTACTCCTCGCCACAGTCCACTCCTCTGCCTACAGGTCACTCGCTCTCAGCTCTGCCTTCGGATGAGTCCGTAGAGCCGAGTGGCCCGTATCCAGAGCTTGTGGGCTGCCTCATGTATCTGATGACCTGCACTCAACCTGACCTTGCATACCCTCTTAGCATCCTTGCACGCTATGTCGCTCCTGGCCGTCACAGGAAGGAGCACATGGATGCTGCTAAGAGGGTGTTGCGCTACTTGTGCAGTACGTCGGGCATGGGGCTAGTGCTTGGAGGGCGAGACCGAGTTGTACTCACTGGTCACTCAGACGCTTCTTGGGCGGACGACTAGGCTACTCAGCGGTCGTCTCAGGGTCACCAAGGCGCTTCAGCCTTGTGACCATCAGCGCTTCTGTACTCTTCTAGGCCTTGTGCCTGCTGGACCTCACTTGCTTACTTCTTGACTCTGTTTGTACTGTGATCTCTATATATATACCTGCATGCTTACACTTGCTAGGTTGCGATCACTGTATCTCTTGCTATATTATCAAACTGCATGTGAACTGGTCTTGTGACCGCTTGCTTGTGCTCGGAATTTGTGTGGTATCCTTGAGATCCACCCTGAGCCTGTTTTGCTTTGCTTTGCTTTGACTGGTCTTGTGACCCTCTGGTTGTCTCCCACTTCGCCTATGGGGGTGTGTCAAACATTGTATGTTTATATTGTGTAGGCTATAGTGGGTTTAGCCTTAGAGGGTACACAAACTTAGGGTTTCATACTTGTACCCACCTTCCTGCTAGTTCATCCATTCTCGTTCTATTCTAGATTCTGACAGCCAGGGCACCCACGCACGCACTGCCCAAATCGACAACAGTCAACGCCTCCACAGCGGCAACTTCGACCTTTAAGCAGCCAAGTCACCTCAACACAAGTAAATCCCACGAACCAGATTCAAGCTTCAACGACACCAACGGGACAACCTGCACAAGGAACAAGGAACATCGTCAGCTGCATGGCAAGACTGAGCGACTCCTGCATCACGGAATCACCACCGTACTACTCACCGGAAGAACAACTCGACGAAACGACACCTCGCCGCGAGTCACTTCAGCCGAACCCGACATACGCAGCCATCGCCCAAAGCGAGCCATCCAGGAAGAACACGTGGTTCTTGGACAGTTGCTGCGGACAGCACATGTGTTCTTCAGGACGCTTCGTGCAGCGAGAGTATCAACTTCAACGCGAAGTAGTCATCACCGTCGCCAACAACCAGAACCTGCGCACACGACGACAAGGCGTGGTACAACTTCAGTCACGGGAGACAAATGTCATTTTACAGATGTCCAAGGTTTTAATCGCAGAAGGCCTCGGCTACAACTTACTGAGCGTCAGTCAGTTGATGGCGAAAGGTATTCACCTCGAAGCAGACAGCACCACTCAGGAGTTCAAGCTGTACCACGGGAAATGCGGCCTCTACATCGGAAAGGCGATCCTCAAGAACAACGTCTTCGTTCTTGATTTTGTTCCAGATCTCGGCACAGCAGACAGCGACGGCATCGTCACCTTCACTTCCTGGACCCACCCTCCAGATCTTGATCCAGACTTTAGTCCTAGCGGCTTCTGGTACTCACACACCATTCCTGAGACAGAAAGAACAAGGGTGTTAGCAACGATTCAATACTCGGCAGCAGCAGAGACAACATCGGCAGAAGCAGAGACAACATGGGTAGCAGCAGAAACAACATCGGCAGCAGCAGAGACAACATCGGCAGCAGCAGAGACAACATTGGCAGCAGCAGAAACAACATCGGCAGCAGCAGAGACAACGACGGCAGCAACAGAAACGTCACCACCAGTCGGTCCTTCGACGGCACCACTCTTCATCGACGACACGCCACCAACACCCGCACAGCAGCTCAACCCAGCACCACGAGAAGTTCATCGAAGCGCAAATGTCACCACCGGCTTCTACTCCAACTCCGACATGTACCGACGCTCGCCCGAACACCGCGCCAGCGAAGGAACCTGGCACGCAAGGTTAGGACATCCAAGCAACACAGTGTTAAACAACACAATAAGAGCAGGAGTGCTCGACAAAGATTCACTCCTACTGACCGACGGCAGAGAACTTCAGCGAGCCCGTGGAACGTGCTTCACCTGTCCTGAAGCTGACTTACCGCATCAGCCGTTCGTCTCGCATCACAATCCAAGCGCACCTGCATACGCACCACTCGAGAAGGTGTACAGCGACATCATGTACAACCGCGAGTCTGGACAGAACGCGTACAACTACACCATCACGTTCATCGACGCCGCGACACGCTACGTTTGGCACCTTAACCTACCAAGCAATGACATGGCGTTCGAAACGTTCGTCGCTTGGCTCCCTGTAGCGGAAAGAGAGTCGGGCGTAAAATTGAAATGCTTCCAGTCAGACGGGGGAGGAGAATACACCTCACAGAGGTTCAAGCAATACTTGGCAGAGAGGGGAATCAAGCGGCTCATCTCCCTTCCATACGCCCATCAACAACAAGGTGTAGCAGAAAGGATGAACAGGACCCTCCAGAACACCATGCGCAAGCTGCTACGTGGCATGCATCTGCCCAACCACCAGTGGCCCGAAGCAATGGACCACGCCGTCATGCTGCACAACTTGCTCTCGTCATCATCGCTCCCGAACAACGCATCACCGCATCTGCTGTGGACAGGAAAATTGGGCAGCACAAAAATGTTGAGAGTTTTCGGCTGCATGGTACAGTACCGACCCCCATCTGCACGAGCCGGCCGATTCTCCCAACGCGCACAGTGGGGAGTACACCTGGGCATCGAAAAACACTCTCCCAACGCGTGGAAAATTTTCGACCTCGAGACAAAGGAAACAGTGGCAGCACGTGACGTTATCTTCTACGAAGGACTCACCATGCGATACTACCTCGCCAACTTGCAAGAAGGAAACCCCGACCGCAGCGATGGTTTCTGTGGAGACCGAGCCTTCGCTTCGGCAGCCGACGAAGCTGACTGGGACGAGCAGAACGTGGACGGAGCCTCGGAAGAAGCCGGACCTCTCCCCTACTGCCCAGTTAACGTCCCGATGAACGACGACGAAAATCATCGCGAAAGTGTCAACGCCGGCGTCTACTACCACTTCGCTGACAACGGTTACGTTACACCTGCTGAAGTCAACACCAACGAAGCAGAACGCGTAGGACCCAATTTCGCACCTGATCCAGAAGCTGGAGACGAAGCAGTTTATCCCGAGGATACAACACTCCCCCGCTACACACAGAGTGGACTCCAGATACTTGGACTCGTCACCGCAGTCCACGGCGCAGCCATTCCTAAGGAGCCTGCGACAGTTCAACAGCTCTAGGGGGGGAGCATAGGGAAAAATGGCGCGAAGCCATGGACAAGGAGCTGAAAGCACTGGAGGAACGCAACACCTGGAAAATCGTTCCTATCGGCGTAGCACGAAACAAGACCATTCTCACCGGAAAATGGGTCTTCCGTGTGAAGACGAAGGCTGACGGCACCATTGACAAATTCAAGGCGCGCTGGGTCGTACGCGGCTTCGACCAAGAGCACGGACGCGACTTCACCGAAACATTCGCTCCAGTCAGCCGACACACCTCGCTCCGAATCCTTCTCGCGATCGCCGCCATGAAGAAGAAGAAACTGCGGCAAATCGACGTCGCAAATGCATTCCTCTACGCACCTGTTGATGCAGAAATTTTCGTGGAGCTACCGCAGGGCTCCAACGGAGAGCCTAACCACGTCTGCCAGCTACTCAAATCGCTCTACGGCATCAAACAAGCCCCGCGGCTATGGCAACAGTACCTGCACGCTCGCCTCATCCGCATCGGCTTCAAGCAACTACCGCATGATCAGGGGATGTACCGGCTTACGAAAGGCACGGATTACATCTTGCTAATTGTCTACCTAGACGATCTCCTCTACATCGGCTCAACCGACAGCGTCACTACCTGGTTCGAAGGGGAGCTGGAGCAGGACCTCACGCTCACGGTCTCATCTACCGTCACACAGTACCTCGGCCTCAACATCCGAGAAGAAGACGACGCGATCTACCTCAGCGCCGCGAAGTACGCCGACACCATCGCCAAGCGCTTCGCTCTCACGCCGACCACCATCTACACACCGTACCACTACACGACAGGAAATAACAAAGGAGGCTCCGCTCTACTCAAGCCCGCCGGCATACGCGACTATCAGAGGAAGCTGGGATGCCTCCTCTTCGCAGCTGTCACCTGCCGTCCGGATCTATCATACTCCGCAAGCCAGCTCGCCACCTACCTCAAGAAGCCTGGAGCGGAACATCTGGCAGAACTAGACCGCGCTCTTCACTACCTCGTCAGCACCCCGACGATCGGCCTGACCTACCACAAGAACGCAACTACAACACCTAAGTTAATCGGCTACGTCGATGCCGATCACGCCGGCGACTCCGACAACAGGCGCTCGCGCACCGGCTACATCTACCGCTTCGAGCCTATCGGTCCTATCTCCTGGCAGTCGAGCAAGCAGGAATTAATCGCCCTCTCATCAGCTGAAGCAGAATATATCGCACTCTGCTCAGCCACCAAGGAAGGACTTTACCTTCGCGAACTGCTGGAAGAAGCGAAGCTAGCTCAGTTACCCAGCTTCACCCTGTTCTGCGACAACCAGTCGGCAATTCGCATCGCCAACAAGAACAGCTTCGTGAACAGGACGAAACACATCGCCCTGCGTTACTTCTTCGTGAAGGACGAGATCGAGAAGGGGAGACTCGAGCTGTCGTGCTGCCCCACGTCCGAGATGGCAGCCGATTATTTGACCAAGAAACTCGGAAAGCAGAAGTTCGAGTACTGCATGCTGCTGACTGGACAGAGCCACGTCACCAACAGCGACACTCCAGAAGCGAAGGGGAGTGTTGGAAACAATGAATCTTAAGCGCCTCTGTCGTGTCGAAACACTAAGGCACAAGCGAAGCAAAGCATACCGAAGAACCGGCGAGTCAACCCTCGGAGGTTGAAAGTAACTGTTGGAGGTTACGCGAAAGTCAAAGGTCAGCGACCTTTGACCTGACAAGTACAGCGCGACAGCAAGGACACACAACTGACTCGTTACAGAGCAGTTGCCCGAGTCGTCACTGTATCGAACCGCAACAGCAACAGTAAAGTAGCAACTGTATCTTTTCATATTCCTTGTACTCTTATATAATCTTGTATCTCTTTGCTTTAATTAATCTACTTTGCCCTCACATACTAGCGCAAGGTGGTTCAACTCCTTCATTAAACGCTTCCGCTATTACATTGTTCCTACCCAGAGTTCACCCTTGCAAAAGATCCTAAGGGCTAATTCTCAGCCCAACAGTTAGGACCGTACTCACCATTATTACCCCTGCCCGTACACTACCCCACATGCCGTGCCTACCAACACGTGCTGCCCTACCCGTACGCTACCCCGTGCGCCGCGCCTGGACGCGCGCACTCCCCTGCCCGTACGCTGCCCCGCGCGCTGCGCCTGCCCGTGCGCGCAGCCCTGCCCGTACATTGCCCCGCGCGTCGTGCCTGCCCACATGCGCTGCCCTGACCGTACGCTGCCCCGTGCTTCGCACCTGCCCGCGCTCGCTCCCCTGCCCATGTGTTGCCCCACCGCGCGCTACCCTGACCCACGCACCCTAATCTGCCCCGTGCCGCCCTGCTTTGCCGCGCGACCCCGCGCACGCTGACCGTGCTGCTCCACACGCGCTACCTGCGCTGTCCCGCGCGCCCTGCTCTGCTGCGCGACCCCAGGTGCCCTGCTCTTGCCGCGCGCGTCGCCTGGCCTGCCCTATGCACCTTGCTCTGCCGCGTGACGCCGTGTGCCCTGCTCTGCCCCGCGTGCTGCCTGAGCTACCCCACACAACCTACTCTGCTGCTCGCAACGCGCGCCCTACGCTGCCCTACCCGCTTGCTGCCCCGCGTGCCCTGCTCTGCCGCGCACCCTGCTCCACCCTGCGCTCTGCACGCGCTGCCCCGCGCCCCGCACGAAGCTACGAGCCCTGCCCTGCCCACGCGCCCTGCCTTGCGCAACGCGCGCCCTGCACTGCGCGACGCTGTCAGAATGTGATGTTTGTGTAGCCTGCAGTGGGGTACTCTATAGCGAGTACAGCCCAATCTAGGGTTTCCTATATGTACTCAACTGCCTGCTAGTGAAAGCCTCTCTTTCCTGTTACTATCGTTTGCCTAGCCTTTCGATATGCTATCAGAGCAGGTTGACCCTCCTGGGTCGATCCTGTGGGTGGTCCCGCCCGATGCTTCCGCTGCTATCCTGCGTATCGCACGCCTTGCGCGTGCGATGTCTTCTGCCTGCCGTGCGCTCAGGGCGCGCGGCGTTTTTTTCTTCCCGCCGCGCGCCTGCCTCGTCGACCCGCGTGTCGACCCCCGTCGGCGGTCGCGTTGCCCCCCGGGAGCCCATCGCGTCGCCCCGCAGGCCCGCGCGTCGCCCCCGCTACCCCCGTCACGACGCGCAAGGGAGCCGCGCGCGGCCCCCCGCTACCTCGTCGCGACGCCGTGGGGAGCTGCGCGCGACCCCCGCTACCCCGACGCGACGCCCTGGGGAGCCACGCGCGGCACCCCGCTGCTCCGTCGCGGCGCTTTGGGGAGCCGCGCGCCTGCCCCCGTCGACCTGCGCGCCCGTCCCCGTCGATCCGCGCGCCCCTCCCGTCGAGCCGCGCGCCATCTCCCGAGCTACTGCCCGCGCACCGCTCCCCGCTGCTGCCTGTGTTAGGGTTTTGGGGTGGAGATTGTGGGGGTGGCGAGTATGGGGGTGACGGGTGTGTGCGCTGTCCCCTGCTCCTCCTCCTCCTCCGTCTCCCACTGCTGCAGCTGCCGCTGAGGGGGGTGGATGTGTTGGAGCCGTCGGAGTGGTACGAGGGGGGTGGCGTGTGAGCGGTGCTAGAGGTACAGCAGGGGGTGTGTGAAAGGGGTGTGGGACAGCTGGGGGAAGTTGAGTGGAGGCAGTCGTCTTGTCGTCCGCAGCGCCTGAAGTCCAGAGAGCCACGACCCCGTGTGGCCGTGTAGTCTTGGGCTCTGCGCCTGGTAGCCACAGTGTGAGCACTCCTGGGAGCACAGCGAGCCAGCTGCGCCTGTCGCCGTGTAGTCCGGGTTTAGCCTGGTAGCGACAGTGCTGCGCACTCCTGTTGCCCGTGTGTCTGCAGCTTCAGCCGTCGCCTCCCATCTTCTCGCCCCCGCAGTTTCTCCTCCTCCTCACTTGCCCTCTGTGATAGCCTCTAGCTTTGCTTGTATTTGTGAACCTACTGCTCTGCCTGCTTGTTGTGTTGATTGTACCCCACTTTGACTATGGGGGTGTGTCAGAATGTGATGTTTGTGTAGCCTGCAGTGAGGTATTCTATAGCGAGTATAGGCCAATTAGGGTTTCCTATATGTACTCAATTGCCTGCAAGTGAAAACCTCTCTTTCCTGTTTCTATCGTTTGCCTGGCCTTTCGATAGACGCGTGCCCCGCTGCCCCGCGCGCAGCTGCATTGTGCGACGCACGTCCCGCTGCCCTGCACCTGTCCCTACAACCACCATGGCAGCAGCAACTACCGCTACAGCCACCGTAGCTGCAACTACCACTACTGCCACTGCCGCTACAGCTGCCGCAGCCGCCGCAACTGCCACTACAGCTATCGCCGAGCAAGTCACTACTACCGCACTTGCGCCACTGCTGCTGACTACCATTGTCTGTCATGGCCCCTATCACTGTCCTAGCGGTGCACGCAGTCGGGCGCCCTTTCAAGTTAGGGTTCTGGCTTGTATGCCTTCGCTTGTATGTCTAGCGTTTCAATAGAGATTGTGTCTCCCTATTCGAGCATACGTTGGGGTCCCTTCAGACCATCACGACTTCCACTGAGCCTGCTGCTGACGCTGGCGAGGACGTCTATTGGTGCTACCGGACGGAATGTGTTGCTTGCACAAAGTGAACGGAGCGTGACCCTGTCGCACAACTTGCCGTCCGCGATCACCTGCCGGTCGACAAGAGGGCCCACTTTTGTCAGGTGATGTCGGCCCAGAATTTTTATCATGGTGTGGTTAGACACTAATCCTCCCTCTCTTCTACTACCCGGCCGTCGCGGCAACGGTGTCTGTTGTTAGAGGAGGTGCAGAAGCCGGTCAAGGAAGCGAATGTATGTACCTATGAGTCTGCTCGTATAGGTGGTGCCGCTGGTGGAGCTGGAGGTTCTGGGGGTGGACAGCAGTAGCAGTAGCGTCAGTAGGAGACCCTCTCGCCGCACCAGCTTCGGGAGTGGGTTTCCAAGTAACGCGTCTATGATGGTGTTCAGGCTGCAAGTCTAGGAGCTTCTGAATCTACTAGCAATGGCGCCGTTCCTGCAGAAGCTTTGCTCACCTTCATGATGGACTCAGGTGCGTCTTGCTGCATCTTTCGCGACTGCACGACAGTCACACCACTTTCCACACCTGTCCCTGTCACTCTGGCTGACTCCTCATCTGGCCCGGTTGCACGTAGTTCTACCGGCAGTCCCCTTTGGTTCCCTCACAGGTTTCCACTTCCCCTTGTTTGCTATAAACTTGGTGAGTAACGCTGTTCTCTAAGATCACTTGGTCACTACCACCACTCCTGGGGGCGAGCTTATGGCGAATTCATTATTCACATCTCTTACTAATGCGTAGACTCTTAGGCACCCTTAGGCACCCACGAAATCACACTTTCCGATAATCTCGACCTTTTCACCCCCCACCCCCCCTCCTTTTTTTTCTTAAATCGCGGATTCTCTTTTTTTCTTCTAACCCTGCTCAGTTGAAAACTGATATTGAGTCAGCAGCTTCGAGCGCAAGACCTAGGGATGATGGATTTGATCTACCCTATGGTCCTATAAGCAACATCATCTACAGCTACTCGGAGCAACAGCAGTCACTAAAACTCAAGGTGATTTGCAACGGGCGACGCCTCCAAGCCCTGGTGGACAGTGGTGCGTCCCACTCGGTGTGCGACCGCGGGACGTTGGAGAAAATTGGAGAGTCATCGGAGGAGACCCAGTTTACAACAACGATGGTGGACGGTACGAAGCCTCCCATCCACGACGAATCAACACTACAGCAGCAGATAGGGGCATTGAGGTGGAAGCCGACGTTGCCGGTCACGAACATCAAGGGTTTAGACTTCATATTGGGGCGTGACTTTTTGAAGCGGTTCAACCCCCGAGATAGACTGGGTCAACCAAAAAGCGTGCAATCTACAACAACGGGAAACGTGTGGAGCTGAGAAGCTGGACGGATACAGGGGATGTTCCTGAAACGACACTTGCACGGTTCGAACGGACAGTGAACGAGAGTAACACGTTAGCACTGGTGATGGTAGCAGCAAAGGAGGAGAAGTCGAGCTTGGAACTACCTGCTGCAGTACAGGAGGTGTTGGAGCAGTACAAAGACATCATGCCAGACGACCTACCTGCAGGAGTACCTCTAGCGCGAACCCACGAGCACGAAATTGCGGAAGAACCAGGTGCTAAACCCGTCTCCCATGCACATACCACCTTAGTCTGACCGGACTGACAGACATGAAGAAACAACTGATCCGCCCATCCACCTCTCCCTACGGCGCACCAGTTCTCTTCACTCCAAAGCCAGACGATAGTTTACGAATGTGCATCGACTACCGGGCATTGAACAAACATGGATATTCCATGAACGCAGAGATCGCTATGGCACAGAAACAGAAGCTGTTACAGTGGGAGAAAGACTTAGCTATAAGGAAGAAAACAGGAAAGTTTTTTGTATCGAACTATGCACCACTACAGCATATCCTACTGGAGGAGTTTCACGACGTACCATACGCAGGACATTTTGGGAGCAACAAGGCGTTAGTGGGAATAGCAAAACATTACTACTAGCCCCAGATGGTTGTACACGTGTAGCAGTTCGTCACCTCTTGCGACACGTGCCA